GTGTGTTGCGAGCATGCTGTCCTAAGGGTGATGTCATCATGCTGAGAGTGCCAGTGGACGGTTACTGAGCTGGATACTTGGCATATGTGCCTGCGTACGTTTGTGAGGTGAGGTAGCGATGAGCGCATATAACAGTGTGGGCTCTGTTAGTATGTGTTCGTTGTGGTGGCAGAGCGGGTGCGTGTGATGTGCCGTGGTTAGGTCTATGCGCTGGGTGTGTTCACTCCAAACAGAGGGAGTGGGGGGATGTCGACGTGTGTTCAGGATTCCGGGGTCACCCATGGGATTATGTGTGATGGGAGAGGTCGTTCCCTGTTGCAGGAAAGGTTGGTGTTGTGGTGGGGTCTCTGACCCTGGGCTGTGCACAATGTTGCTAGCTTTTTCTTAATGAGCAATCTTGGTGAGTGAAGTAAAGGGGAGAGAGAAGGGAAGCACTTAAGTGTATGTATGTTAATATAGTTGTGACAGATCCATCTGTCTATTTATTGCGGTGGATTCGTCTGTTTCTACCCCGTTCGTGTAAATGGCTGTTTCCTATAGCCCAGCCATACGAATGACTGTTTTTCCCGAAGAAAACTACCGAACGGATGGCCACCCAGGAGAGAAGGGTGCTGCTGGTTAACCTATTGATCCCAATTAGAATGTTGTGGTTAACCGCAGACACTTCTCAATTAAACCGAATTCAGGGTGGTCGTCGTTCGTATGTCGACCACGAGGCAGCGACCATTTTAAAACACGCGAAAGCCCAGCGGTGTTCAGCTCTATTTTCATGGAACTAAAAACGAACACTTTTTCTGCCGAACACCGCTGAAACAACGGAACGCCTGGCTGCCTCCACGAAAGCGTACGAACACCGGCCGTTCGGGAGTTTTGTAACACACGAAAGGACTTAACCCAGATAGCCTTCCCATGGAGTCAATCGCAGAGACTGTAAGAACTTTGACTCGATGGCGATTGAACTATGTGTGTGGGATCTGAGCGCTATTCGCTAATAATATGCACTCAGATCCAGGCTATCTGGGGATATGTGATGCGAATGGGAAATATTCAGTTATTTTAAAGTTATATATTTTTATGTATTTTCTAGTATTATATTTAAGATGGTGATTGTCTTTGTCCTGGAGATAATTGAATTACTTCTCAATTATCTCCAGGGCAGAGGGGAGGAAACCATATTGCATTGTGGGTAAAAGCTGTGACTGTACGTCTGGAATGTCCCCATGTCTATCTGTCATTTCAGTCTCCCATTTGGTCCCTTAGGGGAGTGTCCACCAAGTGGGAGACCTGCATAAATACGGGAAGGTAGCCCACAGTAAAGCCAGATCCTGTTTGACCCTCAATGCGGAGCTTCTGTCTCGTTATTGGGGGGATTTCTTCTTTGCGTTTAGAGACTGCTGGATGGAACCGAAAGCCGCTTGGTGGGCGGCTAGCAGCAGTTCGTGGAGTTCCGTTTGGGAGTTTGGAGCCTTTCACGGATCCCGGTCGGGAGATTATCGCTTCCCCTGGTTATTGTAATTGATGCAAACGGATTACTGAATTGCGAAAGGGGAAGGTGAACTAAACGGCGGTTTCCCTTAAAGACACCAGGGGTGTCTTAACAATTGGTGGCAAGCAACGGGATGAATCCCACAGCACAGGAGGTCAGCTACACATCCCAATTGAGCATAGGAAATGCAGTATGAGGAGTTAAGACGTGCTACTCTTAAGGATATACTGGAACGCCGAGGACGGTCAGCAAGCAACTTAAAGAAACGTGAGATTATTGCTTTGCTGGTAGAAATGGATGCGACACAGGGAATGGAGAGAGCTAATGTGCCCAGCATTTTGAATTTAACCCCCGAGGAAATACAATTTAACCGGGCAGTGCAAATAAGGCTGGCACATTTTGGCCCCAACCCCTCAACAGACATCGTGGAACGTGTGCAGGCAGCAGTGATGGCACACCAAGCGCTCCGGGAAAGAGGAGCTGCAGCAGTAGAGGTACCCAATAATAATTTTGGAAGAAAAAAGGTACCCTTTGCTGCGTTTAAAAACTTTATTGAAACAGAGGGCGAGATTGATGGGTTCCTGGCTGACTTTGAGAGGCAGTGTGCCCTACACCAGGTACCCACAGATGAATGGGTCACCATCCTCTCTGGGAAATTATCCGGCCGGCTAGTGAAGCATTACGGGCCATCCCAGTGGAGGAAATCACCAACTACCGGGCTGTGAAGGATGCGCTCCTAGCCAGGTATGCGGTGACCCCAGAAGCCTACAGACGGCGATTTAGGGAAACCTACAAGCAGGTTGGTGACTCTTATGTAGAATGGGCCTGCAGAGTTCATCGTACCGCAGCCCACTGGATGGCAGGATGCCAAGCGGTAACTGGGGAGGAGGTGCTGCAGGTGTTCTTGCTGGAACATTGCTTTGACCGTTTGCCTACCGGAGTCCGGGAGTGGGTCAGAGATAGAAAACCCTCTACCCTACCCGAGGTGGCCCGTCTGGCAGACGAATACACAGACGCTCGTAAGCTGGGCAGTACAGTCACCAAGGTCCCTGCCAGAATGGAATACCGACCGGCAGCAACTCCAGCACCTACAGCCTACCAACCCCCAGTACACCGCACCCCAGCAGTACCACCGACGAATAATTATGTACAACATTCCCGATTCAATGCCCGGGATTATTCACAGCACATCCGGTGCTTTGGGTGCAAACAGTTGGGGCACAATCGTCCAGAGTGCCCACTGAACAGTGCCAACCAAGCTCAGTCCTGGAGGAGACCAGCCAACGAGAACCACCGACCACCTCAGCCTGCTGCTCACTGCATAGAGCAGGAGGAATTCTGGGGCATCCTACATAAGGCCGACCCAGTGCAAGCAGCTCACCAGGATAACCACCAGCAACATCGGCAGATGGTGAAACTGAATGGCAGGGTGGTGAATGGGCTGAGAGACACAGGAGCCACTATGACACTGCTCCAAAAGAACCTGGTCTCCGAGCACCAGCACACTGGGGACACTGTGGCGGTTTTGCTTACCTGTTGCCCGGGTTCATTTGGATTGGGGAGTGGGTGCTAGACAAGTGGATGTGGGGGTTATGAAAGACTTGCCCGCTGATGTTCATCTGGGGAATGATTTGGCCCCTTTGGTTTCAGCCTATGCCCCGATGGGTCCTGCGGACGTTAACCCAGTGACTACTCGTGCTCAGACCCGTGCTTCTGTAACCGGCCCACCTGCTGATGAGACCCAGGTAAGATCTCCTTCCCCGACTGGTACCTTAGATCAGGCACCCTTAAGCTGGGATTCCCCAGAGGAGTTTGGGAGGGAGACCCGGGCAGATCCAACTCTCCAAAAGTACAGAGATAGGGCAGATGCGGGAGAGGAAGGAGTAGATGGGGAGCGGTATGAGTGGGTGGGGGACAGGTTATATAGGATCCCTAAGCCTTCCCAGAAGAGTGTTGCCCCTCCGCCGAATCGACAGTTAGTGGTACCTGCAAAGTACCGGCAGGAGATTCTGCGGATAGGGCATGATGTTCCGTTAGCTGGATGGGGCGAAACCAACCTCGCCACTGTACACTGGAGAAGCCTGGTTGCTCGCCTGCTGCCTTTGGACTATGGCCCCATGTTAAAAGACATATTTTTTCCCTGCAGAAAAGACTTATTCGTGCTTTTCTGCCGGGTGTTCGGTAGATTTGTTTGAGTATGTTGTGCCCAGGGCTGGACTGGGAGAAAAATTTGGCCCGGGCATTTTTTTAACACAGCGGCCCACTAAAACGGGGGCGGGGCAGAGGAGGTGTGTTTTGTCATCACCAATGACAAACATGTCCCCTCTCAAAGTGAGCATGTTGGTTCAATGCTCTCCCAGGGCAGACCATGCGCAGAGCTCTGCTGAAGAGCTCTAGCATGAGAAAAAAGCTCTGTATTTGTTCTGCACAGTGCAAGCAAATTTAATAACATGCTTGCACTGTGTTTCCTTGCAACTTGTCTCTGGTGTCTCTATAAATGGATACCAGGAGACAAAAATGCCAGGAAAGAGTATTGTGCATGTGTTTGGAGCCTGCTTGTGGTATTGCGTGTTTGTAGAGTGAGCTGATTGTGGTGTGGAATTGTGTAATAAGGTTGGTTTTAGTCATGTTGTGTTTGTGGTGTAAAGTGGTGTAATGTGATGCATATGTGGCTATGGGCTGTAGAGAATGTGTGTATTGGGGATATAGCAAGTGTGTGCATACAGGCTATAGTGTGTGTGTATATAGGTGATGATGTGTGTGTGTTTAGGGGTGTAGTATGTGTTTGCTTACAAGGAATCCAGTGTGTGTATAGGTGATCCAGAGTGTGTATGTTAAGTGTGTAGTGTGTGTGTGTGTGTAGTGTGTGTGTGTGTGTGTATATATATATATATATATATATATTTATTTTTTTATTTTTTTGGAAGTATTGTGTATGTGTGTGGTGCAGTGTTTTGGGGCATTCTGTGTGTATGTGAGGGGTGCAGTATGTGTGTGTGAGAGTGCGGTGTGTGTGAGAGTGCGGTGTGTGCGACAGTGCCGTGTGTGCGAGAGTGATGCGTGTGAGAGTGATGGGTGTGAGAATGATGGGTGAGAGAGTGCTGTATGTGATGGGTGAGAGAGTGCTGTGTGTGATGGGTGAGAGAGTGCTGTGTGTGTGTGAGTGCTGTGTGTGATGGGTGTGAGAGTGCTGTGTGTGATGTGAGTGAGAGTGCTGTGTGTGATGGGTGTGAGAGTGCTGTATAAATGTTAGAATGGATTGTGTGTGTGTGTTGGGGGGCAAAAAAAAAAAAACCAGGCATTATGTCCCCCCCTCCCTTCTTACCTTTAGCCTGGGAGGGTGGGGGAATGGCATGCTGGGACTGGCAGACGGGGTGGAGGTGTTCCCTGGTGGTCCTCGTGGGTGAGTGAACTCTAGCCCGCATAGCCTGTGGGGCTAGAGTTCACTCTCGCAAGATCCGGCGCGTTGCCATGGCAACGCGCCGGATCTCGCGAGAGGAACCCGGCGGAGCTGCAAGCTAGAGCTCCACCGGGTCCTCCTCTCCTGGCGGCTGTCTGTCTCCCTCTCTCTCTCCCCGCCGGCGGCCGCATTTGGGCCGGTGAGGGAGATCTCTGATCTCCCCACCGGCCCTCCATGGAAAACAGCGGGGCCGGCGCTCGGATAGCGCCGGCCCTGCATAGACCGGCAGGGGAGATCCTGGGACCTCCCCTGCCGGCCTCGGCCCATGGCCACCGCGGCCCACCGGGCATTTGCCCGGTGTGCCCGATGGCCAGTCCGGGCCTGGTTGTGCCCCAGATAGGAATCCCATGGACTCCATTTGTATGAAACTGACTGTGTAAAGACTTTGGCTCCATGGCGATTAAACTGTATTCGTGTGGTCTGAGCGCCATTCGCTTAATAATGTGCGCTCAGACCTGAGCTATCTGGGGATATGTAGAACATATGTTTTAGGTACTGAATGTAACTGTAGGTAATTTTATGTCTTTTACTGTTTGTTTTCTGCCATGTGGTTAATGGAGTTTTGCCTCTGTCTTTGGAGATAATTGAATTACTTCCCAATTATCTCCAGAGCAGAGAGGAGGGATTGTGATGCATTGTGGGATGGTTGAAATGTGTAAGTCTGTGATTGGTCCTTTTACTCTTTGTGTCCCAGTCTCCCATTTGGTCCCCTAGGGGAGTGTCCACCAAGTGGGAGACCTGCATAAAAGCTGGGCAGTTAGCCCCAGTAAATCAGTTCCTGCTTAACCCTCAAAGTGAAGTGTCGTCTCAATATTGGGGGAGGATTTACTGTATGCTGTTAGAGACTGATTGCCAGGAGTGTAAGCCGCTTGGGGGCTTTTCCTGTTCGTCTGCTAGCAGCTATTCCTGTGTCTCCAGTTTGGGAGTTGGTGAATTCGTGGGTTTGCAGTTCAGGAGATTGGCGCTTGCAGTAGCTGTCGGAGCAGCTGAAAAAGGGGAATATCGCCTAAACGGTTTTTAACCTCTTTTGGGCAAAACGGTCCGTTACACTGGACATCTAGGGTCCCGCCGCACAGCCTATAGGATCTCACAGAACTTCTTTTGGCCAAACTTTAACCAGGCTGTGCGGATGTATTGCAGTACGTGTGACACATGTCAACGGGTAGGAAAGCGGGGGGACCACCCTAAGGCTAGGCTATTATCGATGCCTATTATAGGGGAGCCCTTTGCCCGCATAGCTGTTGACATTGTGGGCCCACTGGCCAGGGCAAGTCCATCAGGTAAGAAGTACGTTCTCACTGTGGTGGACTATGCCACTCGCTATCCAGAGGCAGTAGCGCTGTCTAATATAGAGGCAGAGACGGTTGCTGATGCCCTGGTTAGAATTTTTACTAGGGTCGGGTTCCCTAAGGAGATCCTCTCCGACCATGGAACCCAATTTACCGCTGTGCTCACCCAGCAGCTGTGGAAAGTGTGTGGCATTAAACCCTTGCTTAGCTCACCCTACCATCCACAGACTAACGGTCTCTGCGAGCGCTTTAACGGCACCCTCAAGCAGATGCTGAGGACCTTTACAGATACTTGCAGAGACTGGGAGAGGTTCCTGCCTCATCTGTTATTTTCTTACAGAGTGGTGCTCCAGGAATCTTTTGGGTTCTCCCCCTTTGAATTGCTGTATGGGAGACGGGTCCGCGGACCCCTAGATCTCATCCGGGGCCACTGGGAGGGGGAGACGGAGCAGGAGGGGACCCCCATAGTACCATATGTTCTTGAACTCCGGGACCGCATGGAGAAACTCCCCTCCAGGTGGCCCAGGGGAGACAGAAAAGATGGTACGATCAGGGTGCCCGACAGCGGGTCTTCCAGGTTGGGCAAAAGGTATTGGTGCTCAAACCTGTGAAGGCAAACAAGATGCAAGCATCTGGGCAGGGCCCGTACAAGGTAGTAGCGCAGATCTGCGATACTACTTACTTGATAGCCAGCTGTACAGATGAAAGGGTTCAGAGATCCTTTCATGTGAACATGCTGAAAGAGTACCAGGAAAGACCTGAGAACATTGCAGCAGTATGTGCCCCAGCTGCAGATGATTCTGAGAATCTACCCCTTCCCGATTTATTAGAAAGGGACCCCCAGACTGACCTCACTACCCTTGTACAGCTAGGGGACAGGTTGAACCCCACAGAAAGGGTACAGGCACAGCAGTTGTTATGGGAGAAGCAGGCGACGTTCTCCCAGGAGCCAGGTTATACCACCCTAGCTGTACATAAGGTAGAGACCTCTGGACAGACCCCCTTACGACAGCCACCCTATCGTATCCCTGAAGCAGTCCAAGAAGGAATGCGGAAGGAGATACAGGAGATGACCCAGCTTGGGGTCATCGAGCACTCCGACAGCCCTTGGGCCTCTCCTGTAGTCCTGGTGCCCAAGAAAGATGGGACCACCCGGTTCTGTGTGGACTACAGGCGACTCAACGAGCGGACCACCACTGACGCCTACCCAATGCCCCGGGTAGACGAATTACTGGATCGTATTGCCAGGGGACGATATCTGACCACCATAGACCTGTGTAAGGGCTACTGGCAGATCCCCCTGGCCGAGGATGCTATCCCCAAGTCGGTATTTGTCACCCCATTTGGCCTGTACCAATTTAAGGTCATGCCTTTTGGGATGAAAAATGCACCGGCTACCTTCCAACGTATGGTGGATAGACTCCTGGATGGCTTCCAAGAATTTGCCTGTGCATACTTGGACGACATTGCGATCTACAGTGGGTCCTGGGAGGAACACCTGGTTCATGTAGGGGTGGTACTGGATAAGATTTGGGCCGCTGGCCTGACATTGCAGCCAGAGAAGTGCCATCTAGGTATGGCTGAAGTACAGTACCTGGGTCACAGAGTGGGATGTGGGATGTGGGAGCCAGAGACCAGATCCAGCCAAGGTAGAGGCAGTGGCTAACTGGCCCACACCTACCACTAAGACCCAGGTATTGGCCTTCTTGGGGACGGCAGGGTACTACCGACGTTTTGTCCCTGACTACAGCACTATTGCTAAGCCCCTGACAGACCTGACAAAGAAGAACTTGCCTAAGCAGGTCCTGTGGTCTCCAGCTTGTGAAGCTGCATTCCAGGCACTGAAACAGGCTCTTGTGAATGCCCCTGTCTTGGCTGCCCCAGTCCCTAACAAACGCTTTCTCGTCCACATGTATGGACTGGGGGCTGTGCTGAGCCAAGTCGGGGAAGATGGAGGAGAGCACCCTGTCGCATATCTCAGCAGAAAGTTGTTACCCAGAGAAGTGAGTTATGCGGCAGTGGAGAAGGAGTGTTTGGCCTTGGTCTGGGCATTGAAAAAGTTAAGTCCCTACTTGTATGGGCAAGAGTTTTCCCTGGTAACTGATCATAACCCACTCGTTTGGCTTAACCGGGTCTCAGGAGACAATGGGAGACTACTGAGATGGAGCTTGACATTGCAACCCTACAATTTTACTATTAGCTACAGACCCGGTAAGCTGAACGGGAATGCAGATGGGTTATCTCGGCAAACTGACGTCTCCACCACCTCCTAGTCCGGTCATCCCCAAGTTGACCCGCCAAAGGGTTAAGCTGGGTCTGCTGGAGTGTCCCACAAGGAGGGAGCCAGGTGACAGAACCATCTGTCTATTTATTGCGGTGGATTCGTCTGTTTCTGCCCCGTTCGTGTAAATGGCTGTTTCCTATAGCCCAGCCATACGAATGACTGTTTTTCCCGAACAAAACTACGGAACGGATGGCCACCCAGGAGAGAAGTGTGCTGTTGGTTAACCTATTGACCCCAATTAGAATGTTGTGGTTAACCGCAGACACTTCTCAATTAAACCGAATTCAGGGTGGTCGTAGTTCGTATGTCGACCACGAGGCAGCGGCCATTTTAAAACACGCAAAAGCCCAGCGGTCTTCAGCTCTATTTTCATGGAACTAAAAACGGACACTTTTTCTGCCAAACACCGCTGAAACAACAGAACGCCTGGCTGCCTCCACGAAAGCGTCCAAACACCGGCCGTTCGGGAGTTTTGGAACACACGAAAGGACTTAACCCAGATAGCCTTCCCATGGAGTCAATCGCATACCGAAAGACTGTAAGAACTTTGACACCATGGCGATTGAACTATGTGCGTGGGATCTGAGCGCTATTCGCTAATAATATGCACTCAGATCCAGGCTATCTGGGGATAAGTGATGCGAATGGGAAATGTTCGGTTATTTTAAAGTTATATATTTTTATGTATTTTCTAGTATTATATTTAAGATGGCGATTGTCTTTGTCCTGGAGATAATTGAATTACTTCTCATTTATCTCCAGGGCAGAGGGGAGGAAACCATATTGCATTGTGGGTAAAAGCTGTGACTGTACGTCTGGAATGTCCGCATGTCTATCTGTCATTTCAGTCTCCCATTTGGTCCCCTAGGGGAGTGTCCACCAAGTGGAGACCTGCATAAATACGGGCAGGTAGCCCACAGTAAAGCCAGATCCTGTTTGACCTTCTGTCTCGTTATTGGGGGGATTTCTTCTTTGCGTTTAGAGACTGCTGGATGGAACCGAAAGCCGCTTGGTGGATATCGTTGTTCGGCGGCTAGCAGCAGTTCGTGGAGTTCCGTTCCGGAGTTTGGAGCCTTTCACGGATCCTGGTCGGGAGATTACCTCTTCCCCTGGTTATGGTTTGTGTATTGTAATTGATGCGAACGGATTGCTGAATTGCGAAAGGGGAAGGAGAACTAAACGGCGGTTTCCCTTAAAGACACCAGGGGTGTCTTAACAATAGCATAGCTGAACTTACTGTTCTGAGCCTAGAGTCCTGAACAAGTGGTGTCATGGGAAACTTGGAAACGTTGTGCAGGGTAAGTAAGTCTCTGACAGGTTCTTCAAAGCCCTATGTCGGATCGTTTCTTGAACTTGTTCCTGGTTCCGTCACTTGTGTGCTCTCGGACCTCGGGACCAATGATGCTATGCATTCTGGGTTCCACGTGGTCGCGGCAGTGGAGGCTCTCTGGGTTGTGCTGACCGCCAGTGGAGCCAGGTCTAGCGCTGTCAGGAATGGTGCTGCGTCTTCTATCGATGTGAGTGTGTGCAGGCTTTCGTTTCGGGTCACCATCAGGGATCCGTTTGTTCCCCGCCTGTAGCTTATGTTTGCTGATCGGAGCTGGTTTGTCACTGGATGGAAAGATTTTAGCCACAGAAGAGTTGCTTTTGTTACGTCCTGATAGAATGTTAGAGTGGCCTCTTCGAAGTTTATCGGAGTTTTGTCTTTGATTGCTGACATTATTTGTATTTTGTCGTGTTCTGTGAGGCATCTGAGTATGACGTCTTTTGGCATTGTGGTGGCTGCGCTTGCTGGCCCAGGTAGGCGGTATATCCCCTCAATTGACAGCTTTTTTGCCACTGCATGTGGCAGGATGGAGGCCAGTAAGCGCCTGACATAGTGCGGTAGTTCGTCCGCGGAGACTGCCATTGGGATGCCCCTTATTTTTATATTGGTGCGGTGGTGGCGGTCCTTTATGGCCATCAACTGTGCAGATATAGCTCTTTGTTGTGACCAGACCTGTTGAACAGAGTTCTGAAACTCTGACACGTGTGATTGTATGTTCAAGATGTCTCTCTCGGAGGCCTGTACTCGGTCTGTAATAGCTTTCATATCCTGTTTGATAGGGGCCAGTTCCGTCGCCAGGATTTTGTGAAAATCTGCCAGTAAGTCCTTCAGGTCGTGTCTGGTCGTTGGTGTGGAGTCGGTATGGGCTGCAGGTGTCGTCGGTTGTGCGGCCAGCGGGTGTTCGGGCCCCATTTGCTCATTTGAGTAAGTGTGGAAGTTGGTTTCCGCGAAAACGGGTTTGGGCTGTGCAGGCCTAGGTAACATTGCCCCGATATCCCTGCTGTCTGTCGCTGTTTTCTGCTGGCATTTGGGCCTAGGTGGCAGGTGAGGTCTGATAATAGTCGTCTCTTACTTGTTGGGAGAGGAGCGCCTACAGACTCGGGAGCGTCAACATGGGGTAGGCCCCGTTTTTCCGTGTCCGTCTAGGCTGGTGCGATATTAGAAAGAAAGACATCTATCGCCTCAGGAGGCGTTATGGAGTGTGCATGTTAGCTTTTGAGGGCTGGTTGGGATTTCCTTTTCAGGATATTCGTGGTTTATTAAGGTTGTTCGGAGGAGTTTGCAAGCATGGCATCTGTTCAGGCTGGTGGTCAAGCTCCGCCCCCTCCTTTTATTTTTTATCATCAAAGTACCTTTTTAATTGGACCTAACTTTTGCTGCTGTTGGATTGTTTGGAGCTATATCCATGGTGGGGATTGTAACGGACCGTTTTGCACACAAGGGGTAAAAACCGTTTAGGCGATCGGCCCCCTTTCCAGAGATCCAGGCACAGCTACTGCAGAACACCAAAACTCACGAACTGGATACAAAATAGCACTCCAACTCCCGAACTGGAACCTCCCAAATAGCTGCTAGCAGACGAACAGGAAAAGCAGACTAACAGCTTACACTCCTGGCAATCAGTCTCTAACAGCATACAGTGAATCCCCCAAGAACGAGACAAGGCTCTGTGTTGAGGGTCAAGCAGTGGTCTGAGGTGCTGGCACACCCAGCCTGGTTTTTATTACAGTCTTGCAAATACAGGACCGCCCACAGGGAGGTATAAAACAACCAATCACATCACAGTTACATCCCACATATTCCCTCCCCTATCCTGAGAGGAAACTCAATTATACATACAGTTAAAACATACTTTCTACCCAACTCTCATAACTCTAAAACCATACATCACATTCACATAAAATTACATATTCACAATCAATCCATTCAGGGGAACAACATATTAAAAAATGGCCTGAATCAGACCAGGGGTTCAAAAGTTAAGGGAAAGTCCTTTGTGACTAAATGAAGCATGGCTTTCTGGCCCAAACCAGTTTCAGAGTCTTCTATCCTGGAGAGTAATTCAATTATCTCCCAGGACAGACACAGACTCCATTAAGCACATGGTTGCAAAAAGACACAAAACACTTTAAAAATACATAAAGTCACATTTATTACATAAAACACAGACATGTAACATATCCCCAGATAGCTCAGGTCCGAGCGCACATTATTAAGCGAATGGCGCTCAGACCACACGAATACAGTTTAATCGCCATGGAGCCAAAGTCTTTACAGTCAGTTTCATACGAATGGGCTCCATGGGATTCCTATCTGGGGTATAACACATTCAACCAAAACTACCGAACACCGGGCAGAAAAGCACGAATGAGGCTTTACTGCAGGAAAAAAAGATGTCTTTTAACAGGGGGCCATAGTCCAAAGGCAGCAGGCGAGCAACCAGGCTTCTCCAATGCAATGTGGCGAGATTGGTCTCGTCACATCTCTCCCCTTTTCCAAACAGACTAACAGGGTATCTGACCTCCTGCCGGTCAGTGCCCTTGTTAGTCCAGCAGCCCACCCACAAAACGTAATCAACAGCACAGCCCACCCACAATAAATGGTTACTACACCTGGGTAAAGGAGAAGCTTGTCCATGTCCAGGTGCCTCACCACAGCTGTGCTGGGTACGGGTACACTGACTGGGTGGGTTGCTGCGTGGGCAGAGACCAGCGGCACTCTGCCCTG